GTCCAAGATTTCGATTTGTAGTTTGCGTTTTTCATTTTGATTGATTTGTTTCGTTGGATCTAATCCGTTTCAACCCCATTGGTGATCCAACTATTTTTTTTAGATCAAGCCCAAACTCAAATCATTATGTTACTGTTCATCAATTCAAAATTTGTTTGTATTGAGCCCAAATGACATGTTCGATACTGTTCAAATACAATTTTTGTCCCAAAATCATTCCAATTTAAATCATAATTGAACTCGATATCTTCAGTTCGTGACTTGTTTCTATTGTCGCATCTTGTTGTTCACGACTCAAATCAAAATCGATTATGATTTTGCTATTTCACTATGTTTCTTGAATCGATTTGTTCATATCGATTTGAATCGATTTTGTTCATATCAAAATCAAGTTTGACCGGTATCTTATGAATCCAGGATTTGAAATTGAAAACGAATCAGATGAGTACGAAATCGATTTGATGTCTATCACAGTTGAAGTGGTTTGATTTGTACTAGAATCGACAAAAGAATATTGAAGGTTTGATAATACTTCAACTGAAATCGAATTTGATTTGGAATCGATGGTTGATGCTTTTGATTTCGAAGCTTAAGAGTCATCGATGTGTACAATTGTTAATGTCGATAGTCAAAAGCGAATGGGTTTGAGTCCAAGTCGTTTGTGATTATTGAATGTGGAAAGCGAGTTCGTCTGATGAACGGAAAGTCGAAATTGAAAAAGTCAAAATTGATTCTTTTGTTCAGTAAATTGAAAGAATTGATTGTTCAAGTGAATCGATGTTATATCTTAAATGGAGGATCCCCGAATCAAGATGTAATAAGAAGAAAATGGAAGGGATTGTCGAAGGCTGTATTGGTGTTAGTCGAGAAGTCGATGTGGGTTTGTTGAATGAAATCGAGGGTTCTTGATAATGAAGAACGGGAATCGAAAAGTGATATAGATGTTTGGAGTTATGATGATTTCGAAAGTTTTGGATTATGAGATCAAGGCTTGAATCAAAAGCATTTAACTAACGAAGAGTTCGGAGTCAGAGTATTAAGGTTCGAATGGTTGATTTGCCTCACTGAACTAACGAAGTGAAGAAGATGCAAAAATTTCGTTAATCAGTGTGAAAAATTTTCGTTAGTTCGGTGCTCTAATTGAATCTAACGAAGAGGAGAGAGAAAAGTTTAGTGCTGTGAATTCGTACGAAGGGTGTTGAGAGTTTCGTATGAAGGGTGGAGATGAAGTTTCATACGAAGGGTACCGTGATTTCGTACGAATTGGGGAAGAAGAAAGCAAAGTTTCGTAAATGGTCCTTAAAGTTTCGTTAGTTTAACATCTTTTTCAACTCTTCGTATGATTGGGACAACATTTCGTATGTTTTGAAGAAAAGTGCAAAACTTTCGAAATCAGTCCTTGGAGTTTCGGAAATTTGGCAGTTTTTGCCCAAATTCGAAAAAGGACTGATTTTTTGAGAAATTGAAGATTGTGCATTTCTGGCCCCTGCAGTTGTGCGAATTTACCCTTTATGCCCAGTTTTGCAAATGGGGTAGAGTTTCGCATATTTGGCTGTTTTTGGCGCAACGGTTCCCTGCAGAATTCAGAAAGTTACATTTTTTACCCGGATTTTGGAAAATCTTGCAACTTTCATCCAAAAAGTCAAAAAATTTCACGAATTTGGAAAATTTTTGAGGCTTTTTTGTGATTGTTTTTCCGTGCAAGATTTTTGGTGTTTCATTTTTGGTACACATCAAGGGGAGTATCGTGAAGACTATTCCTCGGGCGCTTCTCACCCTTAATGGGTTTTATAATCATTTTTTTATTATAAAAAGGGGGAGAATGATGGGTATTCAAAGCTTCTCGGGTTTTTCGGGTATTCATTTGCGGATTTGAAGACCGGTGTTACTTCGAGGGGGAGTTTGGTCTTGATCGCGCGAGCTCATTGGATATTGAAGTCGGACATCCAATCCTAACTTTGAGAGGGAGAATGTTAGGGTGTAAAGTCACTCTTGGATGTAATGTTTTAAGTTTACCTTCTTATATGTGTAAATGAGTTGAGTCTTTCCTATAAATAGGAAGTGAGTGACTCCCATTATGTATAGAACAATTTGGAGTGTTAGACTAGAGAGAGAAATTTGTACAAACTCATTTGTATATCCTTTCTAGATCTAATATGAGCTTACACAGATTTATTTTCTCCTTGTTTTCTTGATTTTACATGATGATTCACTAGATATTTTCTTATTCCGCACATGCCATCATAATCAACACAACTACACAAATTAACAAAATTGAGCATTAAACGAGTTGCGTCACAAAGGGATCGATTTTGACGTTCGACTATTACATTATGTTGAGGCGTGTACGGAGCAAAAATGTTGTGACTTACGCCTTTTCTCACCAAGAGTTCATCAAAAATCCGATTCTTGAATTCAGATCCATTGTTGATTTGAATGCGTCTTACATATGACTTCAGCTAAAATTATGTTAGTTTGATGAAACTGGTCATTGGTTGAGGCGTATCAGACTTTTGTTGAAAAAAGCTCGATCCAAACTGAAAAAGCACACGCAAAGACCGCAAGACTGGATCGGAAAAAAACATGAGACCAACCCCAAAAAGACCAGACCGAAAAGTATTGGTCTGATCGGACTATGCGAGACCAAACCTAAAAAAGACTCTGAGACCGAAACCGCCAATATGCGTATTTGGAGTTGGGATTTATACTTTTGAACAATAATGTGTATATATCATGGATAATTTAGTAAATTTTCATGGAAAAGCATATCATTTTTTTAATCAATAATGAACAAATATGTATATCTTTTAACAATAATGATTTGTAAAGTTACAATATTGTTCCTCGCTGAGAGCAGGCAAAATCACTATTTGGCGGGTCATTTTGGCGCTCTAACTTTAGTCATTCAAGACGGGGGAACACCAAACCTGACCTTAAATTTACAAGGGAATTGAATAGAAAAAACACAAGGTCAAATAGTCAAAGGGCACGATGGTCAATACACGTTAAATTTTAGGGTCTTGACTTTTAGGTAGATCTCTGAACACAACTTGAGAGGTGAGCCATCTTCTTGCAACCTACAGGTGGAATTTCTTTCAACATTTTAATTATACAAAATCTTATTTAAATTTTGTTTGAAATTATGCCAATATAGTTATAAGAAAAAAATTTAAGCTCCTCGTACTAATTTCCTTAAAATAATTATAAAAGTATTCCTTTTGTATATATAAGGTTTTCAAACATATCTTTTGTGGTTTTTATACCGTATATCATCGATTATCATGAGGTCAATCGATTTTAATGTTTATATGGTAATTAAAATAGCCACAGAAAATTTTATATTTATATTCGGGGTCTATAAAAAATATTATTATCAAAATTAACTATTTTAATTATTTTTTTAAAAATAAGTTGATAAATTTGTTTTGCATATCCTTTGTTACACATAAACTGTTACACATCGTTTATAGAAATAACAAATATACTCAAGAGTCGTCTTTTCTATAATTTAAAAATTTTCTAGTGTTTTTTTCTTATTAGTTACTAGTTTATAACCCATAAGAACCATGGTTATAAAATTATTTAAACTAATATTAAAAAATCAAAATTGTTAATCAATTATTTTAAATAAATTATTACTTAAAAGAAATTTTTTTAGTTATATCAAATAAATACGTGAAGGTATATCACATACCTTATAATTTGTATTTATTTTATTTTATTTTTTAATATAATGTTATTAATTTAATATAATTATAGTGAAAAAATTTAAAATTTAAAATTTAATATAATTAGGATGAGAAATTTAAAATTTGAAATGGATAATTAATATGTTGACAAGGGACATGATAGAGACATATAATATTAATGAAGAGTTCTAATATAATGACACTTGTCAATAGGAGAATAAACATATTCATTTATTAGAATAAAAAGATTATCAATATAGTTGTTTTGATTTGTTAATGTTTAAATATTTATGTAACTAGCAGGGTTCTAAATAACGCGCCATGGCGGCGCCAAGGCATGCCATCGCGACGAGGCGGGGGGTAACCGTTCCAAAAACGACCAAGGCGACATTGTAAAGCTTGGCGGCAAAAAAACGTGGTAAGGCGCGCCATTTTGCGTTTTTTTCCGTAACGCGTTATGGGCCTTTTGACTTTGTTGACTTTGGGCTAAAGTAAATACTAAATAACTAAAAAAGTAAAATCAAGTCATTAAAGCAAAAGGGAAAACCGAGACAGTAAAAACCTAAAATCAAAACTTACAATTCAACACCATGCTCTCTCGATCGAACTCTCTACAACACTGATATAATCATTCGATCGAACTATCTTCAGTTCTTCACTTACAAAATCGGTCTCATCACTCGATCTTCACCTGCTGGGCTGCTTCGTTTCTTTAATCAATGTAATCGACTATAGTTCTTCACTGATCGAACTATTTACAACCTGCTTTTGTTCTTCAATTTCACATGCGTGTATCGAGAGGTAACCACTAAGCCTAAGAAAATTCTCCTTTCTGTTGGATTATGTTATACATTCAATGATTCATTCAATCTTCATCTACACCATCGTTTCTAAACCCTCATCGGTTTTATACATTCAATGTTTTTATTTCACAACCCTTGCACACATGTTAAGAACTTTCAATTATAAATCCTAATCTTATATGTTATATCTCTCACGTGTGTTGATTTCAGCTATAAAAATTCATTCTCCACTCATATATAACTTGAAGTGGTTAAGTTCATAAATCATAAGTAGTCTCAATTTGAACAGGGGATTAAGAAGTAATTTCAATTTTTCTTTCACCGGTATAAGTTGAAGTTAATTTTCTCTTTGAGGTTTTGTTTTCACTTTTCAATGAGCTCATTCTCACAACTCATTGTTTTCTGCATCCCTTTTAATCTAAATACTTACATACAACATGTTTTTAAGCCACTAATCTGTTTTTAATTTTTTTTTTTCAAACAAGATATATTATAATTTTATTCAAGAATGGCTAATGTTGATCAAGATTCTAATTTGGATGGTGCAACAGAAGGTAGTTCGGATGCAAATGCACCCTTGAAAAGAAACCCGGATGATCCCGGATGGAATTATGGCACATTGTGTGATCCTCTAAATAAAGATGCAATCAAATGCAAGCTTTGCAGATTTATATGTAAAGCTGGAATCACTAGGCTAAAGTACCATGTTTCAGGACTAAAAGGAAATGGTGTAGCCATATGTAAGAATGCAAGAAAAGAAGATAAGGTTGTGTGTGCTGCTTTACTTGAGAAACCAAAAGAGGATAAGATAGCAAAAAGAAAACGAGAAGAAGAAATGAGGGCAGAGGTTGAAATTGAAGTAGAAGATAATGAGTTTTATGCAAGGTCAAAGAAGAAAGGAGAAGCAATTTGCGTCCGTTGGACAAGTTTACAAATCCTATTAACCCCGAAGGTCCATTTCTTAATATGCGTCAACAAAATCTTTTAGATGTACTTTCCAAAGAACGGACACATAGTATACATCAGTTCTGTGCACGATGGATGTATGAATTAGGTGTTCCTTTTCATTCGATTGATAATGATGCCTTTAAGAAGTTTGTTGAAGGATTCGGGCAATATGGTCGAGGTTACTATCCTCCCAGTCAATATCTACTTAGGGAGCCATTATTGAAGGAAGAAGTTGAGAGAACTAAAGGTCTTCTCAAGAAACAAGAAGAAGAGTGGGCACGTAATGGTTGTTCGGTTATGACAGATGGTTGGACTGATCGAAAACGAAGAAGCATAATGAATTTTTGTGTGTACTCAAGAGAAGGTACAACTTTTCATTCTTCTGTTGAATGTTCCAAAGATTCACACACAGGGCAATTCATATTTGATTATGTTGACAAGTGTATTGAAGATGTTGGGGCACAAAACGTGATACATGTTGTGACAGACAATGTTGCCAATAATATGGCGACTGCCAAATTGTTGATAGAGAAGAGGCCAAACATGTTTTGGAATTCTTGTGCTTCTCACACAATCGATCTTATGCTTGAAGCAATTGGTAAAGAAGGTAAATTCAAAGAATGGATTGCTAAGGTAAAAACTTTAACTATTTTCATTTATGCACATCATTGGACGTTGGCATTAATGTGGAAGTTTACAAAGTGTAAGGACATCATGAGGCCGGGAGTTACTAGGTTTGCTGCAACATTTCTTACGTTGCAAAGTTTTATGGAGAAGCAGGAAAAGTTAAAACATATGTTTACTAGTCATGAATGGACACAATCAAAATGGTCCAGAAAAAATGGAACAGGAGCTTATGAAATCGTGATAATCCGATCTTTTTGGAATGGGGTAAACTTATGCTTAAAGGTTTTCTCTCCGTTAGTCAAAATCCTTCGACTAGCTGATGGAGATCGAAAGGCATCAATGGGCTTCTTGTATGGAGAGATTTAGCAAGACAAAGAAGATATCAAAATGGCTTTCAACAATATGGAGATTAACTACCGTTCTATCATAGAAATTATTGAGACAAGAGCAAAAGGTCAGCTTGATAGTCCACTACACATGGCGGCTTACCTGTTAAATCCTAATTATTTCTATAAAGATCAAAGCATAAAAGATAATGTCATGGTTTCAGATGCAATTTTCATATGTGTTGAAAAGTTTTTTCGTGATGACATTGACAAGAAAGATCAGGTGACAAGTATGGAGCTCCCAAAGTACAAGGAAAAAAAAAAGGATATTTTGGAAGAATATCGGCAGCAAAGGGGTGTTCCGAAGATAGCAGTTCTTATAATCCAGGTTTGTTATAAAACTTCTAAAAGTGCACAGAAAATACTTGTAAAACAAGACAAAAAACAACTTAATATTTCTTTTTATTTATTAGGTACTTGGTGGATGACTTATGGAAATGCAACTCCGACTTTGCAAAAGATGGCTATAAAGATCCTCTCATTAACCACTAGCTCCTCTGGCTGTGAAAGAAACTGGAGTACTTTTGAAGGGGTAAGTAATAATTTGTCACTTAATAAGTAATTTTATTATTATCTAACTTTATTGTGACTCTTTTAATCAGATACACACAAAGAAAAGAAATAGGCTTGATAGTCAAAGATTGCACAATCTTGTATTTGTTCAGTTTAATTCCAAACCCATCAACAAATAAGAAAGAAATAAGAACCAAAATATAGATGTATTGCGCTCTCTTGATGCTAGTAAGGCGCAGTCATGGATTGTTGCTATTAATGATGACGATGAGGAAATGGAAGAAGGTGAGGGGTTGGAGGTTGGTGAAGAAGCAATTGATAATGCAAACCAAGAGGCTAGAGAACTCCATGATGATGATTTTGTGTCGGATGAAGAACAAGTGGAATGTGAAGAAGATTTTGAATTTAATTATGATGAAGAAGGTTTTGTGGATAGAAATGAAGACCGTTATCTAGGACGTACGCTGAGCGTACTCCCAGATACACGCAACGTAGCGTCGAAGATTCTAGATGCATGCATGGCGAAGTAGTACGCCCAGCGTATGCGCTTGCTGTTGAATTTTGTTGACTTTTAGGGTTTGGTTAATCTGTGGAATTTGGAGGCCTTGGAAGGGAAAAATGGTCTTTTATCCTTCTGAGAATTAGTAGAGGGTTTAGCCTAACATCTTTAGGGGTCGTTTATTAATTATAGTTAATTACGATATATGTTAGGCGGAGGCTAGACCGGTGGTTCGAGTACGAGACATACTTGCTTTACTTACGAGGTGAGTCTTCTCACTATGCTTACCTGAGTGGTAATACAGTATGACCGGATGGTCTTATATGCTTATGATGAGTTATGTGATATTATGCATTTGTCTTTGTGATTTATGTTATATATTATTCTGTGCTTTATTGATTAGGACCGGAGGGTCCAACCCGAGTTGTGAGACCGGAGGGTCCTCATTGAGACACATGGACCGGAGGGTCCTTATAGAGATATAGCCATGAGAGGCTAAGTATTTGTGTGTGGTATTTTGGGGAACTCACTAAGCTTCGTGCTTACCGTGTTGTGTGATATGTGTTTCAGGTACTTCTCAGGACCGCGGGAAGGCGCCAGCTTGATTGTACACATCTGTTAGGGATTTATGTTTGAGTATTCTGGGATATTAACAGTTGTTTGTTGATTTATGTTTTTGACAGCTGATACATTTGGGGTTTTGAAAAAACATGATAATGAGTTTTATGTGATTTTCAAAATGAAAAATTTGTTTGAAAATTTACGGTGTTACAAGTTGGTATCAGAGCCTTGGTTTGAGGGATTTGGATGTATTCCGGGTATGTCTGGACACAAACTGAGGATTTGAGAAATTTTTCTAAAAAGAAATGATTTTATAAAACGAGTAAGATTTTTAAAGAGAAAACGAGATGTAGTAGTGTGTACAATCAGCAAGAGCCCGAACGATGATTTCCCAAAATACCATTATTTGTTTATGTTATGAGATACTTATGAGATATTAGAACTGCATGCTAGAGGATGGGCTAGGTATTTAAGAAATTAAGGCTAGAGTTGCCTGATTCAGGATGCCTTAGCCTAGGATATGCTATCGATTGATCTTATCTGCTATATGCTCTGTGTGTATATTGAGTAGGGAGAAACATAGTAGGAATCTTTTACAGAGAGTTCGGAGTAATCTAGGAGAGATACCTAGATGAGCAGTGAGGAATTTACTGAAAGAGTAGTTTGATATCCGTGAGGGATAGAGTATTTTGAATTAGAATCCTAGGAGGAGGACTTGGGACGACTACAGGTTGGTGTGGAAGGTAGTATTGGGCCCATACTACTGGAAGCACCAGATCTGTAAGTGACCCAAGTAAGAACCTTAGGATGCTAAGGAGCATGTAAGGGTGGGTAATCGAGTGTGTGAGTGTTTGAGCTAGTCTCTAATGATTTTGTGTTTTGTTTCAGAGACACTATGGTGATTACCACAACAACCCCGGGAGCAGTGATACCAGTGACGAGGAGATCCGCAGGATCATTCATGAGGAGGTGGCCACAACTATCAGAGAGGCCATACCAGAGATGTTTGGGTCTATTAAGAGCACACTTATCAATACTTTTGATGAGAGATACGCTGCTGTTACAGAGGTTACTGCTGCACAGCCACCGCAGCCCTAGCTACTGCGAGGCCTCAGGGGAGTGATTCGTTGTTGCTTCGGGAGTTCAGCAACATGAAGCCACCGGAGTTTTCGACGGGACCTAGGACTAGATTTCTGCCATGAGATTGATCTCCGACATCGAGGGGTGCTTCTATACGTATTCATGACCAGAGCACCAGAGAGTTCGGTTTGCGCTGAACCAACTTCGCTTGGGAGCGAAGGACTGGTGGGAGTTTGTGACGACTGATTTTACCCCTGCAGATCATGCTGTAGTGACTTGGGAGAGGTTCACCAAGTTATTCAGAGATGAGTATGTTCCCCAAGTGGAGAGGGAACATTTGGCACAGGAGTTTCGGGCAGAGGCGCCTGTGGCGAAGAGCAGGGCCTTTCAGTTGACAGTGGAGGAGGCACGTGCAGCTCCCGACGTGGTGATGGGTATGTATCTTCTCCTTATCTCTTTATTTATACTGATTATTGCTTATGTTTTTGTGTTTTGTTATAGGATCGTTCTTAGTGAACGGTATATTAGCTCTGGTATTATTTGATTTGGGGGCCAACCGATATTTTGTGTCGCTCGCGCTCAGCAAGCAATTCGTAGGGGCTCCAGGGGAGCTGGATTGTCCACTTGACGTAGAGATGGCAGATGATAGGACCGTTCGGGTTGCGAGGGTTCATCGAGGATGTACATTGCGGTTGTTTGATGAGAAGTTTTCTGTTGATCTAGTCCCAATTCCCCTGCGAGGGAATAAGGTTATAGTTGGTATGGACTGGTTGAGCCCCAATGGGGCAGTGACCCACTGTGAGCAGCAGCTAGTGAGAGTTCGGACTCCTAGTGGGGGAGGGTTAGTGATTCAGGGCGAGAGGCCGCAGGGTGAACTGACCCTATGTTCACCAGCGAGAGCGAGGCGCTACCTTCAGCATGTTTGCGCAGGTTATGTCGCCTATATCATGGATACCCGGGATAAGGGTAAGGCGACAGTGGATGATGTACCGATCGTGCGAGAGTACCCGGATGTATTCCCAGAGGATTTGACTAGGATACCTCCGGAGAGACAGGTTGAGTTCAGGATTGACCTAGTCCCTGGTGCGGTTCCGATAGCCAAGGCACCATATCGGTTGGCTCCTCCCGAGATGCAGGAGTTGTCTACGCAACTGCAGGAGCTGCTAGACAAGGGATTTATCAGGCCGAGCAGTTCTCCATGGGGAGCCCCGATCCTGTTTGTGAAGAAGAAGGACGGGTCACATCGCATGTGTATAGACTACCGGGAGCTGAATAAGGTAACAATGAAGAACCGTTATCCTCTCCCGAGGATTGATGATTTGTTTGAGCAACTACAGGGTGCATCTTGGTTCTCCAAGATCGATATGCGATCGGGTTATCACCAGATGCGAGTCAAAGATGACGATTTGCAGAAGACAACGTTTAGGACTTGCTATGGTCACTATGAGTTCGTGGTGATGTCGTTTGGGCTCACCAACGCTCCTGCCGCATTCATGGACCTCATGAACCACGTGTGCAGACCAATGCTGGACCGGTCTGTGATAGTCTTCATCGATGATATCTTGGTTTATTCCAAGACTTAGGAGCAACATGAGGAGCACCCGAGGGAGGTGCTGGAGACACTGAGGAGGGAGAGACTTTGTGCAAAGTTTTCCAAGTGTGAGTTCTGGTTGAAAGAGGTGCAGTTTCTGTTGGGTTTTTGGTATATTATAACATCCTATGGTGCACATACAACCCTAAATACCTTGGATCTATGTTTTCACTAATTATACATGCAAATGGTTTCCAAGGAATTAAACCTATAACTAGCATACATTTGACATAAACCATATAAGATACTAGTTAGGATAACATACCTTTTGATGAAGCTTGAAGTCTTGGTGTATTTGGCCTTAAAGAGCTTAGCCCCAATAGTGTGGAAGCCTCAAATGAAGTCA